CCTGAGTCGTCTCGAGTCTTCCAGAGTCGTCTCGAGTCTTCCCGAGTCGTCTTGAGTCTTCCAGAATCGTCTTGAGTCGTCTTGAGTCTTCCCGAGTTGTCCCAAATCTTCCTGAATCGTCTCGAGTCTTCCCGAGTTGTCTCAAATCTTCCTGAGTCATCTCAAGTCTTCCAGAGTTGCCTTGAGTCGTCTCGAGTCTTCCTGAGTCGTCTTGAGTCTTCCTGAGTCGTCTTGAGTCTTCCCGAGTTGTCTCAAATCTTCCTGAGTCGTCTTGAGTCTTCCTGAGTTGTCTCAAATCTTCCTGAGTCGTCTCGAGTCTTCCCGAGTTGTCTCAAATCTTCCTGAGTCATCTCGAGTCTTCCAGAGTCGCCTTGAGTCGTCTCTAGTCTTCCTGAGTCGTCTCGAGTCTTCCCGAGTTGTCCCAAATCTTCCTGAGTCGTCTCGAGTCTTCCCGAGTTGTCTCAAATCTTCCTGAGTCATCTCGAGTCTTCCAGAGTTGCCTTGAGTCGTCTCGAGTCTTCCTGAGTCATCTTGAGTCTTCCTGAGTCGTCTTGAGTCTTCCCGAGTTGTCTCAAATCTTCCTGAGTCGTCTCGAGTCTTCCCGAGTCGTCTTGAGTCGTCTCGAGTCTTCCTGAGTCGTCTGGAGTCTTGCCATCTTGAGTCGTCTCAAGTCTTCCAGAGTCGTCTCGAGTCTTCCAGAGTCGTCTCGAGTCATCTCGAGTCTTCCAGAGTCGTCTTGAGTTGTCTCGAGTCTTCCAGAGTCGTCCTGAGTCGTCTCGAGTCTTGCCATCTTGAGTCGTCTCAAATCTTCCAGAGTCGTCTTGAGTCTTCCTGAGTCGTCTCGAGTCTTCCAGAGTCGTCTTGAGTCTTCCTGAGTCGTCTCGAGTCTTGCCATCTTGAGTCGTCTCGAGTCTTCCAGAGTCGTCTTGAGTCTTACTGAGTCGTCTCAAGTCTTCCAGAGTCGTCTCGAGTCTTCCAGAGTCGTCTCTAGTCTTCCTGAGTCGTCTCGAGTCTTGCCATCTTGAGTCGTCCAGAGTCTTCCAGAGTCTTCTTGAGTCATCCTGAGTCGTCTCGAGTCTTGCCATCTCGAGTTGTCTCGAGTCTTCCAGAGTCGTCTTGAGTCTTCCTGAGTCGTCTTGAGTCTTCCAGAGTTGTCTTGAGTCTTCCTGAGTCGTCTCGAGTCTTGCCATCTTGAGTCGTCTCGAGTCTTCCAGAGTCGTCTTGAGTCTTCCTGAGTCGTCTCGAGTCTTCCAGAGTCGTCTCGAGTCTTCCTGAGTCGTCTCGAGTCTTGCCATCTTGAGTCGTCTGAGTCTTCCAGAGTCGTCTTGAGTCTTCCTGAGTCGTCTCGAGTCTTGCCATCTTGAGTCGTCTCGAGTCTTCCAGAGTCGTCTTGAGTCGTTGTGAGTCTTCCTGAGTCGTCTTGAGTCTTCCTGAGTCGTCTTGAGTCTTCCAGAGTCGTCTCAAGTCTTCCAGAGTCGTCTCGAGTCTTCCAGAGTCGTCTCGAGTCTTCCAGAGTGATCTCGAGTCTTCCTGAGTCGTCTTGAGTCTTCCAGTCGTCTCGAGTCTTCCTGAGTCGTCTCGAGTCTTCCTGAGTCGTCTCGAGTCGTCTCGAATCTTCCTGAGTCGTCTCGAGTCTTCCAGAGTCGTCTCGAGTCTTCCTGAGTCGTCTTGAGTCTTCCAGAGTCGTCTCAAGTCTTCCAGAGTCGTCTCAAGTCTTCCAGAGTCGTCTCAAGTCTTC